CTCTCTGGCACCATTAATGTTTAAAGAACCCAGCTTTATGTCACAAATGACAAAAAAAGGTCTACAAATAAACAAGACAATAAAATAAACCGCAAAAAAAGAAAAGACAAAACAACAAACACTTAAACATCATTTGCTATTTGTGTTTTAACTTTCACCATTAACTTCTTAAGACGAAATATTTCCTGATCAGTAAAGGTTGTGGTAAGTTCTGTATTTTTCATGAAAAACCTAACTGAGTCAAGAAACAACTTCAAATCTGGAAAAAATTCATCAACTTTAACAGATCTCATTCCTTTTGTTTTTTGCAAAAAGGTCTGAATTTTGGTAAAACAGTAAACACTTTCTGCATCCACTTGTGTGTCTCCACATTCACTTTCACCCTCCTGTGTACTTGACAAGCTTTCTTGTGACTGGGATGAGCAAACCGTTGGGTGCATTTTTGTCACTTTTGTGACTTGTTCAGTGTTTGACTTGTTTTCTGGGCTCTTCCTCTTGTTTGACACTTTAGAAAAATCCTCATCCATCAAAACATCTTCCTCATTGAACAACACTGACTCCACTACTCTAGTTGCAATGTGACCAACATTTGAATCTCCTTCTGAGATATTTTGCACATTTTGATCACTCTGTTTATTCTCTGCATCCTCCACCACCTCATCTCCCGAACCACTATCAGCTCGATCCTCTGCCTGTGAGACCTGCATAACAGCCTCTCGCGGCTCCCCCGCACCTGCAGCCGCCCGGCCCGCGCGAATCACATGCCCCACCGCTCCACACCCAAAACACTTCATCAGTTCCGTAGTTACATGTACAGTATAATCAAAATCCTCAACCTTGAACTTGCAAACCAAGTTCAACTCTTCATCGTTTTTCTTAAGAATCATATTAACTTGTCTCCTAAAAGACACCACGTGTTTACGCCTCCAAGACAGAGAGAAAACTAAACACCACTAACAAAAAGAAAGATACAGTAAAGAAATGTTTGGAAAACTCACACGCTGCACCACACTCTCAAACAGCACTCGCCACGCTCACACCTCACCACGCTCCACAAACGCCCACGCATGCGCGAGAGAGAGAGCGCTCCAGAATAATCAGTGCCGAAATAAAGCAGCCGACGCGCGCTGTAATCGCTGTTTCTCCGGTGAAGCTCGAGCAGGTGCCGGTCTGTAACGATGGGGAACCGGGGGATGGAGGACCTGATCCCGCTGGTCAACCGAATGCAGGACGCGTTCTCCGCCATCGGTCAGAACGCGGACCTGGACCTGCCGCAGATCGCGGTGGTGGGCGGACAGAGCGCCGGGAAAAGCTCCGTGCTCGAGAACTTCGTGGGGAGGTGAGTCATCCATTTATTAAAACATTAATACTCAATAATAACAACACATACTGCAAATGCATGCAGCATTAATCTTACATTCCGGCTCAGTCACAACCCCCATCATGCCTCCTCAATGATATGTAAAGGTCATCGTGAGGATCCTGATGATAACCTTTAAATGTTATTGAGAAATGATGGAGGATCATTTGCTGCAATGCTGAAAATCACCAGCCGTGTTCACAACAACACATCTAAATCTCCTTACATAATCCTCCCCAATAGATGTATTCTTATTAGTGCATGGTCATTAGTGTTTCTGTGTAATCTGTGTCCTTTAATAAAATGATAATAATGCACAGGGTCATTAAGATGAAAACCCATAATATAGAAACACGGTAAGCTCTGGTTCTGAGAAGAAGGCGTGTGAAACATGGATGCTGGGATTGTTTACTAGAGCTGTAGATTCAACCTGAGCTGAGCTTCTGATAAAACCACACAGATCTGCCTTAAACAACCATCATCTGCCCTCTTCTGACGCACAAGCTCAATAGAAAGCATTTGATTTCATGACTAAAATATATAGGCCTACATTCCTTATTAGTAGCGTTTGCACTGGTTTTTTTTTTTTTTATCAAACATTTTTAATTCTTGCCGCTGGGTGTGTGAGTGCAGCGTTCGGTGCTTCAGACAGTCTGTGAAGAACATCCCTAGCAACCCACAACATCTCAGCAACACCCTAGCAACCCACAAAATCTCAGCAACACCCTAGCAACCCACAACATCTCAGCAACACCCTAGCAACCCACAACATCTCAGCAACACTTTAGCAACCCAGAACACCACTAGCAACCTACATCATCTCAGCAACACCCTAGCAACCCACAACATCCCTAGCAACCCACAACATCTCAGCAACACCCTAGCAACCCACAACATCCCAGCAACACCCTAGCAACCCACAACATCTCAGCAACACCCTAACAACCCAGAACATCCCTAGCAAGCCACAACATCTCAGCAACACCCAAGCAACCCACAACATCCCAGCAACACCCTAGCAACCCACAACATCTCAGCAACACCCTAACAACCCAGAACATCCCTAGCAAGCCACAACATCTCAGCAACACCCTAGCAACCCACAAAATCTCAGCAACACCCTAGCAACCCACAAAATCTCAGCAACACTCTAGCAACCCACAACATACCTAGCAACTCACAACATCCCAGCAACACCCTAGCAACAACCTAGCAACCCAAAACATCTTAGTAACATCTAGCTACACCATTGCAACCCAAAACATCTTAGCTACCATCTAGTAATGCATTAGCAACCAAAAATATCTTAACAACCCTCTAGCAACACCCTAGCAACCCAGAATATCTTAGCTACCATCTAGCAATCCTTTAGCAACCCCGAATATCTAGCAAAGCCATAGCAACCCACAACATCTTAGCTACCATCTAGCAACACCCTTTCAGTCCAGAACATCTTAGCAACTCTCTAGCAACACCCTTTCAATCCAGAACATCTTAGCAACTCTCTAGCAATGCCCTAGCAACCCACAACATCTTAGCAACCATCTAGCAATGCCCTTTCAACCCAGAATATCTTAGCTACCATCTAGCAATCCTTTAGCAACCCAGAATATCTAGCAAAGCCATAGCAACCCACAACATCTTAGCTACCATCTAGCAACACCCTATCAACCCAGAACATCTTAGCTACCATCTAGCAATCCTTTAGCAACCCAGAATATCTAGCAAAGCCATAGCAACCCACAACATCTTAGCTACCATCTAGCAATCCTTTAGCAACCCAGAATATCTAGCAAAGCCATAGCAACCCACAACATCTTAGCTACCATCTAGCAATCCTTTAGCAACCCAGAATATCTAGCAAAGCCATAGCAACCCACAACATCTTAGCTACCATCTAGCAATCCTTTAGCAACCCAGAATATCTAGCAAAGCCATAGCAACCCACAACATCTTAGCTACCATCTAGCAATCCTTTAGCAACCCAGAATATCTAGCAAAGCCATAGCAACCCACAACATCTTAGCTACCATCTAGCAATCCTTTAGCAACCCAGAATATCTAGCAAAGCCATAGCAACCCACAACATCTTAGCTACCATCTAGCAATCCTTTAGCAACCCAGAATATCTAGCAAAGCCATAGCAACCCACAACATCTTAGCTACCATCTAGCAATCCTTTAGCAACCCAGAATATCTAGCAAAGCCATAGCAACCCACAACATCTTAGCTACCATCTAGCAATCCTTTAGCAACCCAGAATATCTAGCAAAGCCATAGCAACCCACAACATCTTAGCTACCATCTAGCAATCCTTTAGCAACCCAGAATATCTAGCAAAGCCATAGCAACCCACAACATCTTAGCTACCATCTAGCAATCCTTTAGCAACCCAGAATATCTAGCAAAGCCATAGCAACCCACAACATCTTAGCTACCATCTAGCAATCCTTTAGCAACCCAGAATATCTAGCAAAGCCATAGCAACCCACAACATCTTAGCTACCATCTAGCAATCCTTTAGCAACCCAGAATATCTAGCAAAGCCATAGCAACCCACAACATCTTAGCTACCATCTAGCAATCCTTTAGCAACCCAGAATATCTAGCAAAGCCATAGCAACCCACAACATCTTAGCTACCATCTAGCAATCCTTTAGCAACCCAGAATATCTAGCAAAGCCATAGCAACCCACAACATCTTAGCTACCATCTAGCAATCCTTTAGCAACCCAGAATATCTAGCAAAGCCATAGCAACCCACAACATCTTAGCTACCATCTAGCAATCCTTTAGCAACCCAGAATATCTAGCAAAGCCATAGCAACCCACAACATCTTAGCTACCATCTAGCAATCCTTTAGCAACCCAGAATATCTAGCAAAGCCATAGCAACCCACAACATCTTAGCTACCATCTAGCAATCCTTTAGCAACCCAGAATATCTAGCAAAGCCATAGCAACCCACAACATCTTAGCTACCATCTAGCAATCCTTTAGCAACCCAGAATATCTAGCAAAGCCATAGCAACCCACAACATCTTAGCTACCATCTAGCAATCCTTTAGCAACCCAGAATATCTAGCAAAGCCATAGCAACCCACAACATCTTAGCTACCATCTAGCAATCCTTTAGCAACCCAGAATATCTAGCAAAGCCATAGCAACCCACAACATCTTAGCTACCATCTAGCAATCCTTTAGCAACCCAGAATATCTAGCAAAGCCATAGCAACCCACAACATCTTAGCTACCATCTAGCAATCCTTTAGCAACCCAGAATATCTAGCAAAGCCATAGCAACCCACAACATCTTAGCTACCATCTAGCAATCCTTTAGCAACCCAGAATATCTAGCAAAGCCATAGCAACCCACAACATCTTAGCTACCATCTAGCAATCCTTTAGCAACCCAGAATATCTAGCAAAGCCATAGCAACCCACAACATCTTAGCTACCATCTAGCAATCCTTTAGCAACCCAGAATATCTAGCAAAGCCATAGCAACCCACAACATCTTAGCTACCATCTAGCAATCCTTTAGCAACCCAGAATATCTAGCAAAGCCATAGCAACCCACAACATCTTAGCTACCATCTAGCAATCCTTTAGCAACCCAGAATATCTAGCAAAGCCATAGCAACCCACAACATCTTAGCTACCATCTAGCAATCCTTTAGCAACCCAGAATATCTAGCAAAGCCATAGCAACCCACAACATCTTAGCTACCATCTAGCAATCCTTTAGCAACCCAGAATATCTAGCAAAGCCATAGCAACCCACAACATCTTAGCTACCATCTAGCAATCCTTTAGCAACCCAGAATATCTAGCAAAGCCATAGCAACCCACAACATCTTAGCTACCATCTAGCAATCCTTTAGCAACCCAGAATATCTAGCAAAGCCATAGCAACCCACAACATCTTAGCTACCATCTAGCAATCCTTTAGCAACCCAGAATATCTAGCAAAGCCATAGCAACCCACAACATCTTAGCTACCATCTAGCAATCCTTTAGCAACCCAGAATATCTAGCAAAGCCATAGCAACCCACAACATCTTAGCTACCATCTAGCAATCCTTTAGCAACCCAGAATATCTAGCAAAGCCATAGCAACCCACAACATCTTAGCTACCATCTAGCAATCCTTTAGCAACCCAGAATATCTAGCAAAGCCATAGCAACCCACAACATCTTAGCTACCATCTAGCAATCCTTTAGCAACCCAGAATATCTAGCAAAGCCATAGCAACCCACAACATCTTAGCTACCATCTAGCAATCCTTTAGCAACCCAGAATATCTAGCAAAGCCATAGCAACCCACAACATCTTAGCTACCATCTAGCAATCCTTTAGCAACCCAGAATATCTAGCAAAGCCATAGCAACCCACAACATCTTAGCTACCATCTAGCAATCCTTTAGCAACCCAGAATATCTAGCAAAGCCATAGCAACCCACAACATCTTAGCTACCATCTAGCAATCCTTTAGCAACCCAGAATATCTAGCAAAGCCATAGCAACCCACAACATCTTAGCTACCATCTAGCAATCCTTTAGCAACCCAGAATATCTAGCAAAGCCATAGCAACCCACAACATCTTAGCTACCATCTAGCAATCCTTTAGCAACCCAGAATATCTAGCAAAGCCATAGCAACCCACAACATCTTAGCTACCATCTAGCAATCCTTTAGCAACCCAGAATATCTAGCAAAGCCATAGCAACCCACAACATCTTAGCTACCATCTAGCAATCCTTTAGCAACCCAGAATATCTAGCAAAGCCATAGCAACCCACAACATCTTAGCTACCATCTAGCAATCCTTTAGCAACCCAGAATATCTAGCAAAGCCATAGCAACCCACAACATCTTAGCTACCATCTAGCAATCCTTTAGCAACCCAGAATATCTAGCAAAGCCATAGCAACCCACAACATCTTAGCTACCATCTAGCAATCCTTTAGCAACCCA